ATGGCTTTAACCCGGGTTCATTTTTCAATATTTGCGAATGGAATATTGCGATATGTTCAGCTCACAAGCCATTTTTCGGCCACAGCGACGCGGGTTTCGATCAGGTCGCTCATTTGCTTTTCGAACCATTTCTGCTGATTTTGCTGTTTTCTTCCATCCATTACCTTGACGTCGGGCTACGCTACCAGTATCATGGTTACGAGCGATGATACGAGACACAAAAGATTTATTCACATTTAAATGCTGGAACACTGGTGCTCTAACGATAGCCACTTGTGGTTTTCCAGCAAAATATAAAGAAATCACACCGTCACGCTTGAATTCCATCACGAATAACTTATTTTCTTGAAAATTCTCACCAAAATGCTTTTGTACGCTTGTAAGCAATATAATGGACTGTCACTGGAATAATTTAGAAATGACAGCAGTCTGAAATTGGTTGCAGTTTCTCATCTCACCCTGTATATAATTTGAATGGTGTATGGTATCTCATGGCCAGCTCAACACATCAAAGTTCATTCATTTTGACGTTTATTAACGTTTACCAACAGTTGGCGCCTTCTTAGGAACACAATTAATAATTTTCCTTAATTTAGCTTTTTCCATGACTATTAGGTTTTTCATGTTTTTTATTGATAGGTATTTTATTGCAAAGACAAAGTTGCAATGCTAGCCAAGTGGTCGGTTTGATGACATACAATTTTATCTAAGCGACATCTCCAGACACATGATGGTGATGATAAGTTGGATACAATTTTAGACAAGTGATGAATGCATGGAAAAAAAATTGTGGGCAATGATAACAAATGGTTAGTGAATTAAATGAAAAATTGATGCTAGAATTGGAAATACATTTGAAATGAAATTAGAAGAGAGTTTGTCTTCCAGGGCAAAAATTTATTGCAGGTAATTCACAACTGGTGAAGAAAATGAATAAAATTTAAAAAATCATTATTGTTTTCTTCCAGAACCTGCAAGAATTTACTTATTTTTCAATTTATTTGAATATCTTAAAGAAAAAATCACTTAAGTGTTTAAGGGGCCAACACAAAAAACTAATGTTGCCTTTAATTGAAATTAAAAGAAGAAAAAAAAAACAAGTAAAAACAGTAAGTTCGGCCGGGCCGACTTTGAATACCGTTTAAACTTAAAAGTACCAAGTATAGGCAGTTGTCGTTATATTAGGGTCTATATGAAGACATGGACCTGCATAGGCAATTTTTGTCATATATGACATTAAATATATGAAGATATTTCATATATTCTATGAACTTGTTTCAATACATCTATGAATGGCTGTCATTAATCTAATGCAATATTTCATCCATCCAATGATGAAAACGTTTCATTAAATAAATGTTTTCGAATCATTCATCCAATGAAATGTTTCTTTGGTCTTTTTTTAATGAAACATTTCATTGGGCCAATGCAGAAATTCATTATATTGATGCAGAAATTTCTCTCAGTGTAGGGCATTACAATATTGTATACGTATATGTGGACCTACATAGATTATTTTCTGTCATAGACTGTAGTAGCCATTAGGAACTTTAAATACGAAATTTGAAACAATTTCGGTGAATATTGTAACTAAAATCGTCAAAATACCGAACATAGGGAGGTCCCGTATATAGGGCTATACGAAGACCTGGATTTGGACAATTTTCTGACACAGGCTGTAGTACCCGTTACGAATTTCAAATACCAAATTTGAAACAATTCCGAAAATGCTGAATATAGGGAGGTACCGTTATTTGGGAACTATACCTAAACGTGGACCTATATAGCCTATTTTAGCCAATACAAATAGTCCTGCAGAACAAATACACATCTGAGTAAATTTTTAACAACCTATTTTGATTCGTTCGGAAGCTAGAATGATTTCCACAGACGGCCATCGTTAAATCGACATAGAATTATATGCTGATCAGGAATATATATACTTTGTGGGGTCTAAAAGGTATATTTCGAGGTGTTAAAAACGAAATGACAAATTTAATATACCCTCTAGCTATGGTGCAGGGTATAAAAACGGACAGCAGTTGTTTCTTCTATATGCAAAACATAATTGCCTCAATTCAAAAAATAATGCCCCGGGTGAGGCTCGAACTCACGACCTTAAGATTATGAGACTTACGCGCTGCCTACTGCGCCACCGAGGCTATGAAAACGTATACCCGATTGTGATATAAAGACTTATGGTTGTTCACATATGTTAATGATATAAAGAATTTAGAACTTCTTAAAAAAAGCTTTCACATTGGATTGATTTCTTCACACACACACAAGTAAGATAAAAGCTTTAACAGTAGGTCCAAGTGACATTAATTGTAATATATAACAACAATAATTTTATGGGAGTATGTTTTCTACTCAATAACATTTAAAATGTTAAAATTACATCTACTTAGGCTGGAAATTGTGACCAACATCTCAAAAACTACAATTGTTTAGGGGGTATGAATATGTCGTAAAAAAATGTGTCTACGATAACCGATTTTCATTTATGATATCGAACAAAATTGCAAAACTAGCTGATTCTTGCCGGTTCTGGAAAAGAACGTAATATGTCCGACCCCTTAAAGTAAGTAAACTAGAACGAATAACATTTAAATTCACACTTAGAACCTGTCAAACAAAATTGCAATCCACTTTTTTTGGAACGCTTCGACCTGTTGAGAACGCAAAATAATTGAAATATGGTACATTTATGCAAAAAAAAGTAGTAAAAAGGTTCAATATATACGGTCATAGAAGATAAGGACAGATGAATTACTATGTTATTGGAAAATGTTGTTTGTTCAATAGCAAGAAAAAATGTTATATACAGTTATAATAAATATTACTCGTTACAAAGAAAAAATATAAATTGTAAATTTTGTTATGGAGAACTTCTACTGCACTTTACATTGGGCGCCACTAATATGCTTAGTTTACAAAAAAAAAAAAGTAATTTATCGCAATTTTTACAAAAAATAAATTGTCGAAATGGTTTCGAACGAGAAGTGAACCTACAGGACCGAAAAGAAAACCTACGATTAAAATCGTAAAAGAAATCATCAAAGTAGCGAAAATCAGGATATACTACTAACTATGATTCATATTTGGTCCACAATTAACATGAAATCGCAACCAAATCGAAACTGCAACCAACTTCAGACTGCTGTCATTTCTAAGCCACTCGTCCGACAGCTGTTAAAATTATTCCAGTGACAGTTCATTGCATTGTTTACAAGCGTACAAAAGCATTTTGGTGAGAATTTTCCAGAAAAAAGTTATTCGTGATGTAATTCAAGAAAACAACAAGTGGCTATCGTTAGAGCACTCCAGCATTTCAATGTGAATAAATCTTTTGTGTCTCGCTCGTTACCGTGATACTGGTGGCGTAGGAAGTGGACGGAAGAAAAAAGCAACATCAGCAGAAATGGTTAGAAAAGTAAAGAAGCGACTTGATCGAAACCTTCGTGGCAGTGGCCGAAAAATAGCTCCTGAGCTGAACATACCGCAATATTCCATTCGGCAAATATTAAAAAATGAGCTCGGGGTAAAGCCATTGAAATTCGCAATAGAAAGAAAATAGACTCAAAAGAGCTCAAGAGTTGCTTCGCTTGGCCGAAAGTGTTGAACTACCGAATTTGTTTTTCTCCATATCCGATAAGAAAACACTCGTTGCCCAGCAGTTTGTAAACAATCAAAATTATCGTGTTTACTTGCCAAAGAGGTTAGCTGAAAATGTGTACCTTTGGTTGGCCACCAGAACTCAAGCGCCGTTCATAGTGATGGTGTGGGCCGCCATATGGTCGCTCTACGCATTTGGCCACAGACCTTGGACATTCCAACAGGATTCAGCTCCATAGCACTCAGTACGCGCCACTAAAGAATGGTTATAAAATGTGGTTCCTCGCTTCATCTCCGGATTCCAATCTGTTGGACTATTGTGCCTGGAGTATTTTGGAAAAAATACCAATGTTTCGATCACCTCAAGCAAACGCTTTCATTGGCCGTTTGAAGGCCATAATTCGTGTCAAAGGTGACCAATTCTAACAAATCTAAACTTATTCTTAAATTTGATGCTATTTCCGACATTTATTGCTTTCATTCGATAAAATTAAAAAAAAAAATGTAAAAATTATGGCGCTTGACTTTGTTGCAGTTTGTTTTCTTATCTCACCCTGCATATGGTAGTTTTAAGCCGATTTCGAACAAATTGGGCGTACTTATTTCCTTGCTTAATATGGTCATATTTGCAAAGTTCCAGACTATTTGGGCTGATATAACACGTTGGTGCACAATAAAAGGTAAATCGGATAAAGATATGTATGGGAGCTATATCTAAATTTTGACTAAAAGGTAAATCGGATGAAGATATGTATGGGAGCTATATCTAAATTTTGACTGATTATCTGCAATTTCAATTGGGTTCGTTCTTGGGTCAAACAATTTATTTGTGCAAAATTTCATCTGGATCGGGTAATAAATGCGACGTGTACTTACTGATTCTATGCAGATCATCAAAAGGAACTATGGGTCTATCTCATTTTCTTTTGCCTGTTGCAAACAAATGTACAAAGACATTATAACCCGACTACCTTGTGGTGTTGAGTATAAATAGGGAAATGGTTCGAAAACACGTATTTGGATTATAATAAAATTCGTGCGAATAAAAAATCGCGAAATTTACAACACTGTTGATAATCATGAAAAAATTCGAAGGCATAAACACAAATATAGCAATAACAAAAACAATGATGCAACACAGCTTAAAAGCTCAAGTTCGCAGTAAAGAACATAAACATACCGTACAAAAAAGCTTTTGCAATTTTAGAATAATAAACCGAAAGAGGAAGTGGAAGAACAAAAACTTTTTTTTTGGCAGTTTTTAAAAACAATTGAAGCGGTGAAGGCGGCGTTTTGCTTATTTCATGGTTACGGTCGGTCGGCGGTAGAAGTTTAGTTTTTTTTGTGTTATGCCTTCAAATGCATTGAGTGGCAGCCGGGAAGAAAAGAAAGGATTAACAAATAATAATTTTTTAATAAAAATTCAGAAGTTCAGAATTTGTAGGCCAAACTGCAATTGCGTATTGCAATCGAAAGGAAACTTAACGACAAAGAAGCAAACCTAAAGTCCAGACAAATAAATAAACACCGCCCGTCCGAATAGACGTCTCATATGAATAGCAGGAACCTGCCCATGTAAGTATGTGTGTGCAATTGAATGAAATAAGCCGATGAGAATGGTGGCTAAACGTTATTATTGTGGCAGCAACAAAATACCCACCTACCGATAAACAGAAGACATGTGTGGTTGCTTGAATGGCGAAAAGTTTTGAAATTTGTGGAATTGAGATTGTGTACAGGTAGGTAGGTACATATGAGTAAAATGCCGGTAGGGAAATAAAACATTTAGCGTCTGAAACAAGCTTTTGTCAAAGCTTTACGTTTATTTTACGAACCGTTCTTCATCAAAGTTCTTTAAAAAATAATAATAATATTTATTTCAAAGTGTGTTGTTGTATATAGACGCAAATACATGTGTGTACTTGCCCAGGTACATATGTATTAATAAACGTACGCAACACTTAGATGATGAAACAAAAGTTTGTTGAACTTCAACTTGTCAAACTCCCTCAGTGTAGTGTGTTGTCAAAGTTCTCAGTAAAAGACGCTTGCGATTATTGAAAATATTGCCAAAGGGCCAAATTGTCTTAGGTCTGCAGATTTGCAAATGTCACCACCATGCATTCATTCAACCATCCGTCCATCCTTCCATTACCTCGCCATGTCTGGTACTCAGCGTGAACTCTCATTTAAAATTGAACTTTAACACAACTCTCATTGTCGACCGGAAGTTTTGTTCTTTTAAGGTACTGGGTACAACACTGTGAGACAAAATGTTAGGGATGTCGATTGAAACTTTGAGATCGTATGGTTAATGCTCCTAATGTCTATACCATTGAAAATTGTTTGCAATATTTGGTCTGTTCCAGAACTCCAATAATGTAAAAGTTTTTACTACCATAACCGATTTTCCTTTCATGATATCGAAAAACTTCAAATCTAATAGATTCTTGCAGGCTCTCACAGCAAATTTCAATCCGTTTCCGTATTAAATTGTACCAAATGTACATTTTAGCACTAATGGTATACGCGTTGTTCGAATTTCGAAAAAAAACTCTTTAGTTTGTCTATCCTACATGACATCAAAAACCATCACTCCAAATTTAAGAATTCCAGCTCCATTGATTTCTCAAATACTGTACTTTTTAGTACGTACTTCCAAATCCCTCGCCAAGTATCAACCAAGCCGCACAAAAGTTCATCCTAATGCCAAATTTTAGACTTTCACTTAGTACTTTTTAGTATGTATTACCAAAATTACCTCCAAATTTTAACCCTACACCCAAACAGTGTTCCTAATGCGGTAGCGGTATCCATACACGCAATATCAAATTTAGTACAATTCAGTACCTTTCGTGCACATAAGTACACATTTAAAAAAGCTACCAACATACCTCAATCCTACAATGCAAGTGTAATCGTATTTCCAAATTTAAGGATTCCAGCTCTATTGATTCTCTCAAAATTCGAATTGTACCAAATTTAGTTCCATTTAATACGTAAAAGTACGAATTTCCAAAACTACCTATATTATCCAGTCCTTAAATGCAATAGTAATCTTATTTCTAAATTTCAGAATTTCCAACTGGGAATTGTACCAAATTTATTACCTTTTAGAACTTTTCGTGCACATATTTACAGATTTCGAAAACTTCCTCGATATCCGAATCCTACACTTCGCCAGTGATGTTAATCTCCAATTTCATAATTCCAGCTCCATCCGTTTCTCCAAATTCAAATTGTACTAAATTTAGTACCGTACACTTCCAAAACTACCTCCCTACATCGACCCTACTCTTCAACAATGATTCTCATTCCAAAATTTTAGCTCTAACCGATCACATGATACAAAATGGTACCAAATGTAGTACATTTTTGTATTTTTCGTACACTTCTAGTATGAATTTGGAAAAACTTTTTGTACAATTATAGCACACATTTCAAAAAAATCCATATCTCAATTCCATATACCAACAGAGACCTCAACATTAAATTTTAAGATTCCTATACCTACACCTAGGACTCTTCGAACAAATATAGGACACATTTCCAAACCACTGCAAACCTCAAACACTGATACCATTCAGAATATTTTCTCAATCCCTTCACCCAGTCTCAAATCTAGTAGTTTTCGTACAATTATAGTACACATATCTCAATTCCAGATATCAACAGAGATCTCAATATCAAATGCTGAGATTCCAGCTCTCTTTCTTTACCCAATACCCAATTTAGTGCCAATTAAAACTTTTCAAATAATTGTAGTGTACATTTCCAACCCCACCTTCATATCTCAACCGTAGACGCCAACAGTGACATCTATATCGAATTTCCTCATTTCAGCTCTATTCCTTCATTCTGTACCAAATTTAGTACGTTTCGTACAATTATAGCGCACATTTCTAAAACCACCACTAGATACCAACAGAGACCTCAATATCACCTAATACCAAATTAAGTACCATTTAGGACTTTTCGTATAAATATAGGACGCTTTTCCAAACCAATAATCTAAACATCAAAATTCAGATTTTTATCTCTATCTCTTCGTCCAATACCAAATATAGTACACATTTCCGAGACTACCTCCACATGTCCAAGCTACACATAAACAGCGACAGATTTCAAGCACTGTATGTTCACCCAATACCAAATTGTACCAAACATAGTATTATTTAGTATTTTCCGTACGAATATAGGACGCATTCCAAACCACGGCCAAATCGCAAAAAATATGTACCATCAATAATCTAAACATCAAAATTCCGAATTGTGTCTCTATTCCTTCACTCAATACCAAATATGGTACCATTCTGTACCTTTCGTACAATTAAAACAACAAATACAATAACAATTTCAATCCACCTCTTTATCACAACCTACTACCAACAGGGACCACTACATAATATTCCAAACAGTTCCAAATTTAGTACAGTTCGCACAATTAGTACACATTTCCAAAACTACCTTCATATATCAAATTTCCCAACCTTAAGTCTCGTATCAAATTTTAGCCTAACCATTTGGTATTTTAGAAGTTTAGTACGATTTTACAACTTTTTGTTACCTTAAAATTCGAAACCCCTTAGGTACATCTATCCTGCACACCATCAGTGATTATTAAAATATATTGAAACCTGTGTTATGATTATTCAAATTGTTCACCCTTTATGGAGTAGGTTCCAAAGAAATGGGCCAATATTGTCCATTTGGTATTGGACCTAAATAAATATGACAAAAATATTGTGACGTGCCTTCACTTTATATGAGATATGTGATAATTTTTAGAAACTGTTAAAATGTGAGTAATGTCCAGATATAGTCGACCGAAGCATTTCATATTTCATCTAATACAGACAGACAGACGGACGGACCCACATCGATAGACCGATTACAAATGCACTTGGTAGGTATATTTTAAATATCCGTGTTATCACTCACCTGCACATTGTGAGTGACGCTTATTCTAAATTTCGAGAATCTGACGAGTTCAAAAATATATTCAAGGAGAAATTAATCTGCAATGACAACACTAAACATAATCGACTACGTGGTTAATACACATGTATGTATTTATTTGTGCCTGAAATTATTCTCTGCAACTGTCCCCATGTCGGTTTCAAATTGAACCCCGAATGAAACAAAACAAAACAAGTTCATTATTTTTATTTCAACAACTCTTTCGATACGTCCTCCCTCATTGGAAATGCATAATGTCGTCAGAATAAGAACAACAACAATAACACAAATAACAACACCATACCCTCGCTAAATTAAAAAACCACGATATATGACCCGCCACAGTTCAAACAAACCCTCCTGCTGGGAATTGAAAAGCTTTCTTTCAGTTTCGTCCTTACCACGAACATCGACAAAGCAACAAAATAAAAGTAAAACTTCCTCAACGTAAAACGTTCTCAATGTTTCATTTCCTTACTGGCGTGGTTATATTGTTTAAATGCTCTCATTTTTAAACTGCCCGTGGAACTGCATTCAAGCTTTCTCTTTCGGGCTTAACGGCCAGACAGTATAAAAAATGCCGGTCCAATGATGGAATCAATAAAAAAAAAACATTTTAAAAAGCTTTTTTATGCAGTTATTTATTTGGCTGTTTGTATCGAGTTTTTTGAGTATTACCAAAATAACATCTGTCGTTCGCTGCTTGGCAGGGATGGGAATAATGTGTTAACTACGAATATATCGTTAATTTACCCTCAGAGTGTCATAAATCATCTTTGCTCTATCTGTTCCAAAACCAGCAAGAATATACCAATTTTTGAATTTTTTGATCATCTTTGCTTTGTTCCAAAACTTGCAAGAATCTACCAATTTTGGATTTCTTGTATACCATAAAGGATAAATAGGTTATCGCAGTGACATTTTTACATTCTTTCAAGTTTTCGAAATCCGTTTTGGGACATTTGGAGACATTCTAACGATGTCCGTCTGTCTGTCCGATTTGTTTCAAACTTTTAAAAATTTTACTGAACAAATTCGTTGATAAGCAATATCGGTCCAATCCTTCTTATACTCCCCCAGAAAAATTCAAGGTTTTGCGAAAAATTTAAATCTGCGTTTTATGAAATTCGTACCAAAAAGGTACGAAAAGTACTAAAAATTGAATACTTTGTATTGCACAAACGGAATGTTATTTTGAATGAGAGTCACTGATGGAGTGCAGGAAAGATGTACCAAAGGGGTTTTGGAAATTCGAACCTTAAGGTTTCGAAGTGTACTAAAATTGTACTAATCTTCTAAAATAGTATCATTTGGTATTATATGAGCGGATAGAGCTAAAACTTGAAAGTTCGTATAAGAATCAAGGTAGAAAGTACGTTTTATATATGAAGGGGGTTTTGGAAATGTGTAATACACTTGTACTAAATAATACTATATTTGGTACAATTAGGTATTCGGTGAACAGATAGTGCTTGAAATCTGACCTGGGCATTTGGAGATTGATTGTGTACTATAATTGTACGAAAAGTACTGGATGGTACTATATTTGGTATTGGGTAAAATTCTAAATTTTGATATCTAGATTACTGATGATATCAGTGTCTGAGGTTTGGCAG